CTGAAGTGAGGGGAGAGCAGTGCCCGAGGCCACATTCAGGGAACATTTGTTTCCACGCAGTCTTGGTCCCACCTTCTTTCAAGGGCTCTAAACTGCTCCTGGAGATAGGGTTGGACTCCAAACCCATCCTGCATGAGAGAGATTCTTTTGGAAAATTTTATTTTTTTTCCTCTTATTACTGGGGATTGAACCCAGGGGCTTCTAACTCCTGAACAACACTCCCATCCCTTTTGTTTTTAATTATTTTGAGATAGGGTGTCACTAAGTTGCTTAGGGTCTTGCTTAGTTGCTGAGACTGGCTTTGAACTTGGGATCCTTCTGCCTCAGCCTCCTGAGTCACTGGGATTATAGGCATGTGCTCCCACACCAACAGTAACATTTTTGTTTGTTTCAGTGAGTATAATTTCAAACTTACACAAAAATTGCAAGAAGAGTGAAGAGAGCTCCCTTTTACCTTTCCTCCACATCACCATTCACCCGCACTTGCTTTTACCTTTTGAGCATCCTCTCCCGCTCCGTATACTTGATTTCCAAGTCCTAGGAAAGTAAGTGGCAGTCAGAACAATCCTTTGCTTATAAATACCTCAATGATTTTTTTAAAATAACTTATTCGTTGTTGTTGGACCTTTATTTATTTTTATTTTTATGTGGTGCCCGAGAATCGAACCCAGTGCCTCACACATACCAGGCAAGCTCACTAACACTGAGCCACAACCCCAGTCCCTACCTCAATGATTTTTGTCAACAATAATATTCTCTGAAATTTTCAAAATTAGCAAAATACCAGAGATACGAGGGTTTTGTCTAATCTCCAGGCCATATTCAGATTTCATTTGTTGTCCCAATACTTGAACTCACTTGTATCTACCTTTTTGAAGACTATTTAGTCACATAGTTAATATGTAAATGCAGCTTCTGTGTAAAACATTACAGATAAGGAAAAAGTAGTTCTCTTTGAACTATTCAATCCCAGTCCCTCCAATCCCACAAGGTGTTATCGTGTAATGGGTAGGAATGCAGGGACTCTGCCACTTAGCTGTGTGACTTTGAACAAGCTCCTTAAACTGCCTGTGTTTCTGTGATCTGTACAATGGGAATGATAATGAACTACCTCACAGTTACTGCATGGGTATGAGTTCATCCTGATAAAACAGAACAGTGCCCTCACAAAGTTAAGTAATCAGTAGATGTTACCTGTTCTATTAGCCTGCTGGACCTCATCCCGTGGGAAAGTACAAGGGAATGCAAGAAGCAGAAATTACCAAAGCTCCCTCCAGGGCACCAGCACTTAGGGCTTGAGTCCCAGGAAGATCCAGAGATACACAATGTAGGGCTGAAGAAGGGGTAGTCCCCAGTCCCTGGGCATCTCTGTTATTCGAGCTCTCCTTTCCTTAGAAAGGAGAAACCTTTTTCAGATGAGGAAACTGAGGCAGAGAGATTAAATTATTTGGAAATTTAGGGCCAGCAGAAGGAAGCTCAGAGTCCCAGCAGTGTCTTAAGTTTGCCCCCCTGCCTGGGGCTGGGACATTTCACATAAAAACGGCTCAGCTCCAAAAATCATTGAGGTAGTGGCTGAGGTTGTGGCTTAGTGGCAGAGTGCCTGCCTCGGTGGTGCATGCCTGTAATCCCAGCTGCTCAGGAGGCTGAGGCAGGAGGATGGTGATTTCAAAGCCAGCTTCAGCACAAGCGAGGTGCTAAGCAATTCAGTGTGACCCTGTCTCTAAATAAAATACAAAATATGGCTGGGGATGTGGCTCAGCAGTTGAATGCTCCTGAGTTCAATCCCTCGTACCCCCCCCCCCAAAAAAAAAGGCTCAGTTCTAGCCTGGACCACTGCCTGAGCTTGATGGGCTATGGCTGGCAGTCAAGTCCATGGGTCAAAATCCCATGAGGAATTTTGAGGAGTTTTGAAAGAGACTGTGAAGCAGAAGACCAAGGTAGAAAGGAGGAAATGGCTGGCCCTTGTCCCTGGCAGGCAGGCTGGCTGGGTAGACAGCTGTAGGGGCCCTCCTTCCTGTGAGGGACTAGGCCCAGAGCTTAGATCTCTAAGCCTTCCATCTCCCCAAACCACAGCCCAGAGGTGTGAAAGAATGAAAATAACAGGGGGAGGTGTGGCAGAAGAGCCAGGTGCACATTTCACACCTTGACCACAGGTGGGGCCCACAGCTTCACTCTGACTAACTTCCTCCTCAGGCTTCCCCATGGCTGCTAGGGAGGACAGAAGCAGGAGGGCTTCAGCCAGAACTCCCCAAGGGTTGGGCCTGGCTCTGACCTGGTCTGGGGGCTGCTTGTAACTGGAAAGGACAAACAGAATAAGAGGGCCAGACAAAGGCTTGGTTCATTGCATAACACAGGAACTTTCCAAGACACCTTAGCTGTGAATGACAGCAGAAGACCACCACAGATCTATTCTGAGGCTTCAGATGGCTTGGTTTGGAAAGTTACTAGAGTGGGTGCAAACAGCTGGGCACCTACACTGTACTAGACACTTTCTACCCATATTGTTTGCAGTCCACAGAGAAACACTATCAAATGCATACAATCATAGAAACCATTTTCAGATGAGGAAATTGAGGCAGAGAGATTAAATTATTTGCCTGGGATCACACAGCTGGGCAGCTAAAGGACTTGACTAGGACTGGAGAATTGTTCTGACTCCCAACCAAGGTTGAGGGGCAGCCTTTCTGGAAGACCAGCCCTCTGACCATGGCTGCACACCTCTTAAGGTACCACTCTCAATTGTGAGCTACCCTAGCATGAAAGGCTCCCAGTGGCTCTAGGTCTGTGGCCAGTGTCCCACTCACTCAGCATTGTGCTCTTACTAAGCACTTGGCTCTGTGATTGGAGCCTGTGGCTTTAGTTAAGTCAGTTCACCTTGTAATAATCTCACCGAGGAAACTGGCTCAAGATGGTTCTGCAATTTGTCCAAGGTCACACCTCACAAACTGGGTGGAGTCAGGGCTTGAGTCCAGACAAATTCAGTGTTCTTTCCCTTGTGTCACAGTCACACAGGTCAGCCCAGGAGCAGCAAGAGCTCAGGCTGGCTGATAAGGACCCAGCATCAGGATGTCATCAGGATGTTGGGACTCAGAAAGGAAAGTTCTCTGTCCAAAGCTCTTCCCCTGACCTTCTCCCAGGTATCCTTCCCAGCAACCTGAGAAGGTGTATCATCCCAATATCACAGATGAGGAGACTGGGGCCCAGAAAGGGGACCAGGGATCCCTAGACCTTAATATTTCACACAGACCAGTAATATTCCAATATTTATTTGGAGGACCCATGTTGGATTGCCATCGTCTGCCAATGCAAGATATTTCCAGAATGACCATCTGTTTTGCCATCATTTTTGCATAAAATAAATATCCTCTTAATACCAGAAAAGAGATGAAAACATAATACAGACTGAATCCTTTAAAAAGAACAAATATAGCCTTTTGGAGTCATTATTCTTATCTGTGGAAACCCAGTAACCTAAACCCCTTCACAGACCAGCATTGGGACATCGTGATCCCAGCTCCCATCCCTTTTCTCTCCATAGGCAGTCACTTGCCAAGTCCTACTCATCCTAACTGGCCTAGCTTCAGAAATTCTCCTGGCTTCCTCCATTTCCACTGCTCCCGACCTACCCCAGAGCTTCAGATCCTTTTGACCTGAACCCTATAGGTGATAAGCTGTTTTAGGGAAAGCAGTCACACCTGTGTACTGAAGAAGGGGAGAACTTTGATACCTGACAAGTGTGCATCATTTCAATGAACTTGAACTGAATTTCAGACATGTGCCTGAAGGCTTTGGAGGAGAAATCAGGTTAAAAACTAGGGCCCCAAATGTCATGAGCTAGCATTTGGGGAAGAGAGGGAAAGAAGAATCTGCTGGGGTGAGGCAACTTAGGGGCACCCTTGCTTGCTGATAATGAGAAGGGCAATAGGTAGGGGAGAAGAGAAGAAGGGGAAAGTTCCAAGAAGGTGGGAGAGAAATTGTTCTACCACTGTGCACTATGAAGCTGTCTTATAGCTCATCAGAACTCCTCCCAACCCCATTCTTTTTTAAAAATATTTTAATAGCTTTATTTATTTATTTATTTTTATGTGGTGCTGAGGATCGAACCCAGGGCCTCACATAGGCTAGGCAAGCGCTCTACCACTGAGCCACACAAACCCAGCCTCCCCTACCCCATTCTTCATACACTGGAAGTAACTGCTCTCATGAATTTGTGGTGTCTCCAGTCTCTGTCTTAAACTTCAAGAACAAGCAGCCATATCCAAAACAATATGGCATTGCTTTGTGTGGTGGTTCCTAGAATGTACTTATAAGTGGTGTCCAACTAAACACAATATTCTCTTACTTGCTTCTTCCACCATGTGGGCATTGGTTTCTCTAGATACATCCATGTTAAAAAAAAATGTAGCTTTACTTCACTCATTTTTAGCTGCATGAATATCTCAGTTTATCATTTAAAAGAAACTGAACACAGCAAAATAAGTGGTAAAAGGAAGAGTTAGGCGTACACCTGTAATCCCAGAGAGATGGGAGGCTGAGGCAGGAGGATCCTGAGTTCAAAGGCAGCCTCAGCAAAAGCGAGCCACTAAGCAATTCAGTGAGACCCACCCTGTCTCTAAATTTAAAAAAAAAAATACAAAATAGGGTTGAAGATGTGGCTCAGTGATCAAGTGCCCCTGAATTCAATCCCCGGTACCAAAAACTAAAATAAAAGAAAAGAAAAAAAAAATTAAAAAGGAGAGTTAGCTGTGTGGGCTCATTCCCCACACCCACCCTTACTTGCCATGTCTGACAACGTTTCCTTTCTGAATCATCCATGGGACAACCCACTACCTCACAAGGGACTTGCATGGTTGGAATGAGGCAGCATCAGAGAAAGCACCTAAATTAGCAATGTCTAGCACACAGCAAGTTTGTCCCTAGCGGTTCCTTTTCCTTTCCCCTGTTGATGAGCAGGGTGGGGTGATGGCAAAGAACTAGATTTAGTGTGAAGGATTTCTTTAAAATATTTTAATTTTTCAAGAAAGCGAATCGTCTTTACAAATAACACATTTAGCAATTCAGTCTGTACAATCTTGCAAAGATCAACTCCAGCCCAGGATGGAGGAATGGGTATTCTAATTTATTGAGCATTGACCAGAAGAAGGGGCAAATCTTGCATCTGTGAGCAGGGTTGCCCTCCACTTCCCCACTGCATGGCTTCTCTTTCAGATCTCTCCACTTAAAGGATCTGCTCCTACCCAGCTACCCTCTGCCCTTCCCTAGGGCCCAGACTTTCTGGTCCCAGACTTGCAGACAGTTCCTCCAGAGTGGTTTCACTCAGCCTCAGGAATGGCTGGAGCAGGACCTCTGTGGCCTGGGGTCCAGGGAGGTCTGGTATAGATAACCCTCTGGAAGAGGCTGCACTGAGAACCCTGAAACACTCACTTCCTCTGTGCACTGCACGTTCCCAACCACAAGCACCAAAGCAAACGGGCAGGCAGCACGCAACCAAGCAGCCGGAGCACCAACCCAGCCATGGTCCCTGAGGTAAGTGCTGTTGCCCAATGTGGCCAGTCCATACCTTGGAGTGGGGAACCCAGGGCACTAGGGATAGGCCAGAGTGGGCCCATAGCTACAATGCAGGGGCACCAGAGGGCTAGGCGAACAGGTAGAGGTGGTAGGAGATTTGATAGGTAAACTAGACAGGGAATTGGGAACTCGGTGACTGACCACAGGCAAGTCTCTTCCCCTCTGGCTTGGGTACCTATTCAGCAAAATTGGGGTGGTGAGGGCAGTAGAGGCTCAATCTTGAAGACTTCTAAGATTCCCTTCATCTCTGACTTGGAACTTAGGCTCTTGCGAGCTGGATTGAATTGGCACCAGGGAGGCCTGCAACTCTGGAGTGCTTTAGGGTACGAGTGAAGGGTAAAAAAGATTCCTGTTAGCTGGGTGTGGTGGTACACCCCTGTGTCACAGCTACTTGGGGAGCTGAGGCAGGAAGATCACTTGAATCCAGGAGTTCAGGTCCAACCTGGGCAACTTAGCTAGATCCTATCTCCTAAGAAGAAAAGAAGGAAGGAAGGGAAAGAGGGAAGAGGGAGTGAGGGAGGAGGGAGGGAAGGAAAATTCCTGCTGAAATTTGGTTGGGAACTCAACTTGGTGACTGACTACTGGTAGGTGGCTAAATTGGATTTGCAAGCCTCTGTGTAGGGGAGAGGAAGCACGGGGCAGAAATCAGGTATGGGGAGTGGTGCAGTGATTTGTAGAGAGACCCCATAAGGAGGCAGGAAGTTGGGGTCCTCAGATAAGAGCTGAGGAGACAATGGCAAGTGACTGAGAGAAAGGATGGGGGAGGGAGGTGCTGGGAGGCAGGTGGTTAAACTAGGTGTGGCCACAGCACTGAGGTTGGCAAGTCATGAAGGGAGTCTGAAGAGACAGAGAGGAAAGTAGCCAGGAGGGCTCTGGGCACTTGAGGGAAACTCTTCCTCCTGCCCAGGATCTATGGCCCCCATGGAATGACCCCAGAAGAGTAAAGAACAACCTTTGAGAATGGAAGTCACCATCCCAGAGCACAGGCTGGGCAGATAAAGTTCAGGAAGAGTGGCCCTAGAAGAAAGGTAGCAGCAGGCCTCAGAGCCTGCCTTCCAGAGGTACTGCTCAGAGAAATGCTGATCAGACTAAATCAAAAGTCACAATGGGGACCAGGCATATTGGTGTCTGCCTTTAATCTCAGCAACTCAGGAGACTGAGGCAGGAGGACTGGAAGTTGGAGGTCAGCCTAGGCAAGTTAGTGAGACCCTGTCTCAAAAAAATTAAAAGGGGCTGGGGATGTAGCTCAGTGGTAGAACATACCTGGGTTCAATCCCTAGTCTCTCTCTCTCTCTCTCTCTCTCTCTCTCTCTCTCTCTCTCTCTCACACACACACACACACACACACACACACACATATCATGAAGGGGCAGCTGTGGTCAGGTCTTTACATAATGGTGCCAACCTCCCTTCTCTCCTCCCTCCTTTGACAGGTGAGTGAACATCAAGTGCTGGGTGCCTCAGACTTTGCCTCTTTCCTGGAAAACTGTACCTATCCCTATTACTATGGAGAAAATGAGAGTAACTCCTGCTGTGATTATCAGCCCTGCCCACAGGACTTCAGCTTGAACTTTGACCGAGCCTTCCTGCCCGTCCTCTACAGCCTTCTCTTTCTGCTGGGGCTGCTGGGCAATGGTGCAGTGGCAGCTGTGCTACTGAGCCAGAGGGCAGCACTCTGCAGCACCGATACCTTCCTGCTCCACCTGGCTGTGGCTGACGCCCTGCTGGTGCTGACACTCCCACTCTGGGCAGTGGATGCTGCTGTCCAGTGGGTCTTCGGCTCCGGCCTCTGCAAAGTGGCAGGTGCCCTCTTCAACATCAACTTCTATGCTGGGGCCCTCTTGCTGGCCTGCATCAGCTTTGACCGCTACCTGAGCATAGTGCATGCCACCCAGCTCTACCGAAGGGGGCCCCGAGCCCGCGTGACCCTCACCTGTATAGTTGTCTGGGGGCTCTGTCTGCTTTTTGCCCTCCCAGACTTCATCTTCCTGTCAGCCCGTTATGACAAGCGTCTCAATGCCACCCACTGCCAGTACAATTTCCCACCAGTCGGCCGCACAGCTCTGCGCGGGCTGCAGCTGGTGGCAGGTTTCCTGCTGCCCCTGCTGGTCATGGCCTACTGCTATGCCCGCATCCTGGCTGTGCTCCTGGTCTCCAGAGGACAGAGACGCCTGCGAGCCATGCGCTTAGTGGTGGTGGTGGTGGTGGCCTTTGCCCTGTGCTGGACTCCTTATCACCTGGTGGTGCTGGTGGACACTCTCATGGACCTGGGGTCCTTGGCACGCAACTGTGGCCGTGAAAGCCATGTGGACGTGGCCAAGTCAATTACCTCAGGCATGGGCTACATGCACTGCTGCCTCAACCCATTGCTCTATGCCTTTGTGGGTGTCAAGTTCCGTGAGCATATGTGGATACTGCTCATGCGCCTGGGCTGCCCTGTCCAGAGAAGGCTCCAGCGGCAGCCATCATCTTCCCGCCGGGATTCATCTTGGTCTGAGACCACAGAGGCTTCCTATGTAGGGTTGTGAGGCTGCAATGGGAGTTCCCCATTGGCACATGCAGCCTGGCTCTTATCCAGGCTTCTCCCTCTCTCACTGCTGGGCTGGCTCTGATTCTCCTCGTAACCTCATCCCTGGGACTTAGGGGCAGCCTCAGCACCACTCGGTCACCATTGCTGTTCCATAGCTGCCAACCCCCATCCTGCCACTTGAGAGGTGGCTGCTGGAGCCCCACTGCCCTCCTAATTCAACAAGTAGAAATTGGCCTTCTCTATGTGCCCAGAGTAAAAGGGGAACAGGATGCTACCCCATGGGGCCATGGCTGAGCAACAACTGTGGCTGTCTGTGGTCCCCAAGACTTGTCTTTGCTTTTATTTTTATATCTAAAATCCTGCTTAAAACTTTTCAATAAACATGATAATCAGGACCAGAATGTGGAAGTAGTCGTCAATATGGACAGCCCTGCTGGGCAACAGTGGCACACACCTATAATCCCAGTGGCTTGGGAGGCTGTGGTAGGAGGATTGCAAGTTGAAGGCCAACCTTAGCAATTTAGCAAGGTCCTAAGCAACTCAGCGAGACCATCTCTAAATAAAATATTTTTTAAAAGGCTGGGGATGTGACTCAGTGATTAAGCACCTCTGGGTTAAATCCCTGGAACAACAACAAAAAAAAGATAGCCCTGACTGGGCTTAAGAATATATTCCATTTCTCCCCTCCTGGACCGGGGTCCATGCCGACTCAGCCTGCCTTTGTTAATGTCTTTCTGTGGCCTTTTCTCTGTTCTCTTGGGTACTCCTTTGGTCTCTGCTAGGCCCCATATTGCCCAGTGGTGCTGGTGTACACCCTTAGGGACCTGGGTGGCAGCTGGCTATATAATTTGGAAAAGGGATCATTAAGTGTTAATAAGACATAGTCCCTGTACTCCAGAAGCTCAAGCCAGCAGAGAAGATGTGTTAAGAGCTAGCAATACCAAGTCTTCTATACCATGATGTAAGGGAGTAGTGACACATAGTGAATCCAGGGCTTAGCATACAAAGGTTGGAAGCATTTGGGAAGGTTTTCTGAGGACTTAAAGGGCAACTAGTATTTTCAAGGATAAAGTAGAGAGACAGCATTTCTATGCAGAAGGAAGGGCAGTAGTAAAGGTGAGACAGCTAAAAACAGTGAAGCTATTAGTTTTGGCTGGCTAGAGTTAAGGGTTTGGATGGAGAAAGGTTGAAAGTAAGACTGGAAGGTAGTTCGGGATCAGGTGGTGGTATCATAGTCCAGTCAGAAAGCTATGCTGGTTATTCAGGAGACATGAGAGGTGATACAGGTTCTTACTAGGGAAATGGCAGTGAGCCTATAGGAAAGCAAAAGATGACTTGAAAACAGTCATCAGCACTGGGAGCATTTTTCCACTGCTGCCTCTAGGATTGAAGGAAAATTTAACTGGGGCTTCCCAGAAGGGCGATCAACAGAGCTAATAAGGAAGAGAGTGAAGGGATAGACCCATTGCACTACCAGTTCATCTCAATGAAGTCACTGATGTGCCATGACCCAGTTTGACAGGTCAGTTGGGCCCTTTCTGAGACTGCAGATAAGGCTAGAGGCAGGGATAGAGAAGAAAAATCCAAGCAGTTAGTTGGGGAAGCTTGTCCTAACCTAGGTACACCTCCAATCACATCTAGCCACAGTTGGGGGTTTGTGACCAGTAAGAGAATACTCTAAGCCTCTGCAAAAATCAAAGGGAAATGTCAAAATAACACATCCTGCTTATAAGAAATATCAGTAGCGCAAGATATTTGTGGCAGGCTTAGAAATGGGCCCCACCAAGACAACCATGATCCAATCCTGTTTGTGAATAGGTTACCTTACATGGTGAAAGGAAATTAGGTTTGCTAATCAGCTGACTTTAAAATAAGAAGATTCTCCTAGATTTTCTAGGTGGACCCATGTAACCATAAGGTCCTTAAAAGTTTGAGGAAGGCAGAAAGTGAGAGAGATGTTGCTAGCTCTGAAGATGGAGGAAGGGGCCACAAACCAAGGAATATGCTGACATGTAAAAGTTGAAAAGACAAGGAAATGGATTTTCCCCAGAGCCTCCAGAAAGGGCATATCCCTGTTGACACTTTGATTTTAGTCCAGGATGATTCATTGCAGGCTTCTGACCTCTAGAACTATAAGATAATACACTTGTGTTGCTTTAAGCCACTAAGTTTATGGTACTTTGTTGTGGTAGCCAGAGGAAACGAATACAATGTTGGTTCCAGTCCACATCCTGGACATCTCTCAGAAATAGGGAGTCTGCTGAAGAACACATGGGCATTAACAGAAATGAGATAACAAACAGACTTTGCTAATGAGTGAGATGCAAAAACATTTTATTTGTTGAATAATTATACAGCTTGACAGCTTCACTCAATGTCATCAGCAATTGAATTCAACAACATGTTTGTCTTTTCTGTCTAGGTGGGTTTAGCAGGTTACATCTGACAACAGTCCTGTGTAAACTGCTGCTTTTAAAACTTGTTCTCTTCCCAGTATCCTTTTCATTCTCTCAACCTGCCACTCTCAAAAACTCATTTTTCTTCTCTATTTTCTTCTACATTTTAAAACTTGCATTCAAAATAAGACCCAAGGTGGATCCGGAATGTTTCAGGGTATGGTCCTGGACAAAATGACTAGCAATAGAACCCTTAGTTAAGAACAAAAATCATGAATAACAAGAATCTTAAAACATGTATTTAAACTCTAATATTCATAACTGCACAATAATAGAGACTTTTTTCTAAAACTTTTCATCAGTAAAGGATTCAGCTCATATAAACATACTCTAAGGATTCTTCTTTTGTTTACTGGCAACATAATCCTTGCTGAGCTTTCTCATCACATCCCCATGGCTGATCCCAGCTGTCCCTTGAAACACCACTCGGTAATTCTCCTGCACATATTTGGCAAATGGTCTCACATGGGGCTCAATGGGGGTTCCATCTTTACGAGTTAATGGCAGCATGACCAGGGGCCCTCTGCATCTGGCACAGATAAAGCGTTCTGTGTTCAACGATTTGGTGTAGTGGCCAACCCTAGTGAGAAAAGGGACATTACACAACAAAGAAATCAGTCACTGTACCTCAGCATTAGCTCTGAGATGTTAGCCTTGAGCACAAAGAGAAAATTTCCTGCAGGTTCTCAGAGAATGGGGCCACAAGCAGCAGAGGGGTTGGGCTAGCTCAAATTAGGGATAAGAGTAATATAGAGAAGGTTAGGGGACAGAAACAGGAATACAGGAATAAGGGCTCGGTGTGGTGGCACTTCTTGTAATTTCAGTGACTTGGGAGGCTGAGGCAGGAAGATGGCAAGTTTGAGACCAGCCTCAGCAACTTAGCAAGACACAAAGCAACTTAGTGAGATGCTGTCTCAAAATTTTTAAAAAAGGGCTGGGGATGTAGCCTAGTGGTAAAGTGTCCCTGGAATCAATCCCCAGTAACAAAACAAAAAAGAAAAAAAGGAATAGGGAATCGAGAAAGAGAACATGGAAAGAAATAGGTTCACTCTTCAAATCAGACACCCTTCAATTTATTCCTATAGTCACTACAAGAGCCACTTAGAGGCCAGACTGGAAAGTCTGAGGGGACAGGTCTTACCTGGTTTTGCACTGAGTACATTCATAATTAATCTTGTAGTTAATTGTATAGTTATGGCAACGAGTGACCCTGGGCAGCTCGGGGTGCACCGCATTGGATTTTCTTGCATAATACTTCCATGCATCACCATGAGAATCTCGGACACCATCAAGCAGCTAGGAAGCTGCATGGCATATTTCATGGATCAAAGTATCACGGAGGCGGTCTTGGAAAAAGATTGAAAAGAAACTGTGAGCACTAAAACCAATTTGCTTCTGATCTGCTACCCAACCCTTCAACTTTTACCACCACTAGACACAAAGCCTCTTACGTAAGTATTCACAGGCAGTCATGAGTGTTACCTTCCCAAGATTCTGAAAGTGAAACTTCCGCCCACTTCAACCCAATTTTGTTAATGACAGAGAACTTTAGGTGAGCAGGTCTTTTTGGAGGAGCTCCGACGTGTTCATCTTTTTGTGGGGTGCTGCTAAAGATACACCTGGACAAGACTTGGTTTCTGTCCTCGGGGAACATAAGTGACCAGGGTTGGGGAGGGGGAGTAATCCTTAGGGCCTTGGGATTTGGTTAGAAATTCCATAGCAAGATTGGGATCTGAGCTGAGCCCTTGACAAATGATTGGATTTACAAAGCTAGCAAAGCCATTGGAAGGGAAGGTGAAAGGAGCAAAGGTTGAGGCGAGAAAGCATGTGGTACATTTTGAGGGCTGAGAAGAAATCCCAGTTGGAGCATGAGCTAGTAGTGGAATAGTGAGGGACAGGACCAGTTAAGTGGAGTGAGGGCAGATTACAATGGCCTCAAAAGTCAGTCTCTAGGCATTGAAAAGCCCTGGGTTTCCTACTAGGAAAGCAACATAGTGGTGTGCAGGAGACTGAATGCAGCAAGGAAAAGAATGAGGGGATATGGACCCATATCTGGGTGGAGGCAGAGATGGAAAAGGAATGACAACAGGAGAGTCAAGATGAAGGAAGATTTGGTAATTGGCTATATATAGGGGTATCGGGAACCTCACCTAGTGAGAGAATAGAGACGCTGCCTCTGGCAAGTGGAAAATGTAGACAGAAAGGTAGACTTGGTAGATTGATGAGTTGGATTCTCAGGAATGATGAGGCATACAATGGTAATATCCCCCAAGCAACACATGATAGGTTTGTTCACCCAAGAATGGCAGTTCAACTTGACATAGGCTGCCAGCTAAGAGTAATTAACAGGTGCAATGTCAAAAAGAGATAGCACTGCAGTAAAGCTGCCATACTCCTGCCATCATCACCTGCAGAGTCACAGACTTTCAGAGAAATCTCGATCTTGGCATAGCGCTCCCTTTTGGGGTGTCATGTCTCACTAGTGGTGCATAAGCCAGCAGTTCTCAGCATCTTTTTATTCCAGGTGATTTCTATTTTCTCTAGCATCTGAAAATAAAAAGCAAATGAAAGGAATCAGAAAGCAGTTCTAAGCAGACCAGAAAATATAACCTCAGGAGTTTTTCTCCCTCTAATCCAAAGTAAGAGGAAGTTTCTCCCCCAGATTCTTGATGCTAAGCAAACTGGGGAGAAATCTATTCAATGGGCATGCAAATCTAAACATTCTGGGAGAATAAAAGCCAAGTTGCAGTCCAGGTAAAGATAATTAATAGGTGATCAAGACAAGAGAGAATGTTGAGACCATGTGCATGCAGGGTTCGTGCTCGCCTGTGCAGAGACAAGTCAGGGGCAGCTAAGGAGAGGGGTGTAAGCATGCTGAGGTGAGTGAGCCGGAAACCTGTGCATAGGAGCACCCAGAAAGAACTAACAATGCAACTCAGGATACATCAGGCTCTGCTCATCTGAAATACCACCACTGTCATCAGGAAGAACATTAAAGGCTGGGGAACCTTTAGGATATTGGAACTTCCCTCTGGTAAGTCTTGTCACCAAATATAATAAAACCTAAAAACCTAATGATCTAAGGATGGGGGTGCAGCTCAGTGGTAGAGTGCTTGTCTAACATGTCCAAGGCCCTGGGTTCCATCCTCAGCACTGCAAAACAAAAACAAAACCTCAGAAACCAAAAAATCAAAACAATACCAAAACCCCTGAATGACCAACAGGTCTCTGCATCCAAATTCTTTCCAATCCAGCCCATATCTCCAGGCTATACTGTCAGATTAATGTCTTTCAGTAGCTTCTACATGTCACACCATATCCTGTGCAGTGAGTAGTGCCTACTGATTTAAATTTAAAGTCCCCCAACCTGATCTTCAAGGCTTTCCATTATCTGGTTCTTCATGATCAAAAAATAAGAGCTTACTTACTATGTTCTGGGCCCTGTTCTAGGTACTGTGTGTGTGTGCGTGTGTGTGTGTGTGTGTGTGTGTGTGAGAATAAAAACAAACTTTTGTCTTACAATAATTTGGAGGTAGTAAGTACATTTGGTCCTCTGATCTGTGGGTTTTGTATCCACAGTTTCAACCAGCCAGAGATTGAAAATATTTTTAAAAATTGCACCTGTTTTAAACATGTACAGATTTTTCCATGTGTCCTAATTCCCTAAATAGCATAACAATTATTTACATACTATTTATATTGCATTAGGTATTATATAAGTAATACAGAGATTTAAAATCTATGGGAGAATGTACATAGGTTACATGCAAATATTTTGCCATTTTATATAAGGGATTTTGAGCACCTGCATATTTGGTATTTGTTGGGGGTTCCTGGAACCAATCTTCCAGGGATACAGGGGCTGACTATACTGTTACTGTCCCCATTTTACAGATGAAGAAACAAACTGAGGTTAAGTAACTTGCCCAACTCACACTACTCTTTCCCATAATCATTCAACAGGAACCCTCTCTTGGAGGCAGTCAAGCCACAACACAGGCTTGCTCCCTCAGCACTGTTGTTCTCATTACTTACCATCCTTCAAGAACCAGGAGCCTACTTCCTCCAGGAAATCCTATTTCCTGGCCACTCAGTCTCAGCCATTTCTGTCTGCTGATGTCCTGTAGTAACAACCATACGTCCCATACATTATAACCCATAATCATTCTCTATTTCTTTCATGAATGGACATCTCATCTCCCCACCCAAACTGACATTTCTCAAGGGCAGTAGTATACATTGTCAGTACACTATGTGGTGCACCCTAGAATGCTGGCATATAGCAGATACTCAATAAATGCTCATTTATCAATTATACCTTCTGATCAAAGACGGTGCTGTTAAACAGTTGGTAGATTTTCTGAACCAACTCATCCTTATTTTGCTTGAAATTCTATCTAGAATATTTCTTTGACTTTTCAAGGTCACGTAAGAAACATCCAGGTATTTTGCACATAGATTTCCTGTAAAGGCAAATTCAACTGACTTTTGTATAGGTAAAGGAATAGAAGAAAACGCATGCGCAAAGGTCAGACTAAGAGCAATTTTGAAAACTTGCTGCTGCTCCTTCCTCTAGCTCCTCTAATGAGGGCATTTCCCAAGCTTCCATTCGTACCCTTTTCTTTTCACACTTGGCACATTCTCAAGAAGTGGGAGGCCCAGTTTCAACCTCAAAAAGACTGATTCTCCATACCTGTAGCTGCAGTCTTGAGCTCTTTCCTAAGATCTAGTTCTGAATTTACAACTGCCCAATACAAATTTCCAAGTGACTAACACATGTAGTCTATCTCCAGTACAATTTGTTCAAATATCAAACTTCTGTTATAACTGGTTGAAAACCACAGAGGGCATTTTTAAAAATGTTTTTTAGTTGAAGATGGACATAATAACTTTATTTATTTATCTTTATGTGGCACTGAGGATTGAACCCAGTGCCCCACCCATGCTAGGTAAGTGCTCTACCACTAAGCCACAACCCCAGCCCCACACAGAGGTATTTTTAACTCATTTCTTCCTCCCTTACCCCATGTTTAAATCGGGCACAGAGACACACTAATATTTCCTTCCCAAAGGCTTTTCCAGGCAGCTGCTCCTTCCCAACCTCACTGTCACCTCCCTAATTCAAATTCCCATCATCCCCTTGATGCCTCGATTCAACAGTATTCCTCCAACTGTTCCTTACTGCCAGACTTTCTTCTAATCCCATTATGTACACCCCTCCAGATTCATTTTCCTAGGCCACATTCCAGAATGTTACCCTCTGCCTTTTCATTGACTGCTTGGCCTGGCATTCAAAGCTCATTTCTATCTGGTTCCAACCTCTATTTCCAGCTACCATTTCCACTTTAGTCAAAGGCAACACAAACCATGATTCCCCACATGTCTCAGCACAATCTCTTCTCCCATGGCCTAGAGTGACCCCATCTCCATCTCTACTAAGAACCACCATCTGTGTGGTGCTTTATCATTTGCAAAGAACTTTCTTTTCCAGGCTGGGGTTGTGGCTCAGTGGTAGAGTGCCTGCCTAGCATGTGTGAGGCACTGGGTTCAATTCTCAGCACCACATGTAAATAAACAAAATAAAGGTCAATTGACATCTAAATTAACATTTTTAAAAAAGAACTTTCTTTTGGGGCTGGGTTTGTGGCTCAGCAGTAGAGCACTTGCCTAGTGCATGTGAGGTCCTGGGTTCAATCCGCAGCACCAAATAAAAATAAATCAATGCAAGTATTGTGAAAAAAAGAACTTTCTTTTCATCCTATTTAATCCTCACAAGGACCTTTGAAAAATGTACTAATGTTTTTACCATCTCTACCTTGAAGGTGAAGAAACTGAAGCTCAAAAATAACTTGTCTAAAGATCACAGAGACAATGAATCTTCTGATTCAAATCTCATAGTCTTCCCGTTAAACCACAATCGCTGTCCCAACTTTCAAGGCCTAATACAAATGGCACAAAGAATAGTGCTCAGCATATAAAAAACTCATGCGTGTAATAACTATCTATTTAAACTGAAGCATTTTTATCTTGGCCTCAAAAATTCACAAGTCCAGAGAGATGAGCCCACAGAGCTGGAAAGATAAAACAAGAGCAAACACAGAGATTCTGAGTCCACAGAACTCTGTGGACACTGTGATTTTTGCCAGAACACTTATTAACCCTTAAACTGCAAAACAGCCCCTAGGTGAAAAGGTTGGTGTGTGGAGAAGAAAGTACCAGACATGCAAAGAAGGCTAATGCAAGGGTATTCATCCCAAAGCCTTATATGGATGACTCCAACATTTCTACCTCCAACATCTAGTTTTGAAAGCAAATTTGCATCAGAAAAGTTGATAGATGAAAACCTGAGCCACCTACAGGCTTCAGCAGAGGATAAAGCTTAGCAAACTTCACCTCAAGACCTGTGCCATTTCACTGCAGGCTGAATACCACCACATCAGAGAAACCAAAAAGACCCCAAACTGGGTACATCAGACACATGACCAGCAGGCAGCCTATACAGAACAATGCTACACACACAGGAAGCCCCCAGACTGACACAGGAAGTACCAAGGCAACAGTTAAACAGTCCAAACAGGCTAGCCTCTTTTGAATGAGGCAGATTGACAAAGACACCAAGGGGAATCTTCTTCCTTCTTATGCCACAGTCTCTAGCAAAGCAGTCTGGGAATTACCTAAGAGACCCATCCCTAAAGGCAAAGCAGCTTGAATATGTATCTAGGTATCCAGAGAAGACAACTTACTGCAAGGTAGTCCATCTAAGATAGCACATGGTGGGCTTCCACTAGCTACTTCAGCCAGCAAAAGGCACAGGGACGCAAAGAAGTCCGAGTTGCTCTGTTGCCCCAATGTCTCCATATTTTGTTGCAAAATACAAGTTTAAAAATAATATATAAGTTGCCGGGTACTGTGGAGCATGCCTGGAATCCCAGCGGCTTGGGAGGCTGAGGGAGGAAGATCGCCTAGTTCAAAGCCAGCCTCAGCAAAAGTGAGGTGCTAAGCAACTCAGTGAGACCCTGTCTCAAAATGAAATATAAAAAAGTGCTGGGGATGTGGCTCAGTGGTTAAGTACCCCTAGGTTCCATCCCCAATACCAAAACAAAAAGAAAAAGTACAAGCTGGGGTTACGGCCCAGTGATAGAGCACCCCACCTGCTTAGCCTGTTTGAGGCCCTGGGTTCTATCCATAGCACTGTTAAAAACGAAAATGAAAACCAATCAAAAACAATACAAAAAGAAGTGCTCACAAGAAAATCACAAAGTCCTTCAATTACGTTCCTTTTCTTATATGATACTTCAGGTGAATATGTATTACTCCTGAATGCAAGTAAAACAAACAGAAAATTATGCTTACTATATCACATTTTTAAGGGGAAAGGGAGAGAAGTTGCTAGAATCTAAATGAGAAAATATATTAATTTTTGATTTAAGTTATTAATATTTTGGGTCTAAATGATCAGTGGTTTTCAGGATCAACTATAAACAGCTTAATAAAAATAAGGGAGAGCTGGAGATATAGCTCAGCTGGTAGAGTGCTTGCCTCGCATGTACAAGGCCTGGGTTTAATCCCCAGCACCACAAAAAAAAGGTGGAGGGAACTACAACCAATCCATTTTATCCTAACATTTAAAAATTTACAAGAGGGCTGGGGGGGGCACTCTGAATAATAGAGTGCTTGCATAGCATGTGTGAGACCTGGGTTCCATTCCCCAAACTGCAACAATACCACAAGGATACACACAGTAGTAAGAAAAACTGGGTTCACTCAAAGCAACAGAAAAGCTTAGAAGACATTCTTAACTGCCCTCCCTCCAATCCCAATAGACTGAACAAATAGGTCACCATCTCTATTATGTTGGCTTGGGTTTAGTACAAACTGGTAGCCATGGGGCTGTATCCAACCTGAAAGTAGTGTCTTGTTTGGTTACACAATATTCTTTGACCCGAGTTTAAAGACAAAGGAAATTTCAGATACCAGAGGTGCTGTGGGGAAAGAAGGGCTCCACTCTGCCCAGGTAACTGCAGGGATCTTGGTAGCTTAGGTGCTAGGGTAAACAAGGAGGGGAGCTTACTCATTCTGCATGTGCTCTCCCCCATTTAGGGACAGATACCTTGCCACCCTTCCCAACCAGACTCCACCCCCTTAAAGAATTCCCCTCCAGTGCCCAGTGGGCTGCTAAACATGCAATAAATAGGCACTCAATTCCTGTTCAAATGGGTGTGAGAAGTACATACCCAGTCTCACATTTTTCAACTTTTACTGCACTGGATTTCTTCTTTGAAGGACCACGTTTTTTTCTTCCACTAACAGCTGGAAGGATAATATAATAGTCAATTTGTACCCTGGAAATTTATACCATCAAGAAACTGACAGGGGCTGGGGTTGTGGCTCAGTGGTAGTGCACTTGTCTGGCACGTATAAGGCATTGGGTTTGATCCACAGCACCATAATAAATAAATAAATAAAATAAAGGTATTGTGTCCATCTACAAAAACAAAAAAAGAGAAACAAACCAACTGACAGTTAAACCCCGGAGGGACTTACACAGCCAAGCACAGAACATCTATCAATAAAATTGTGGGTGAGGGCTGCATATGACTGCTATCTGAGTGACTTTATGGCAATCCCAGAGCCACTACTAGAGTGAGCTGGGTAGCAGTCTGCCATAGATACTTACTGAGGACTATCATAAAGGTATGTATATGTGTCATTAGAAGCCAAGGTGTGTGGGCAATTGAGGCTCGCACACTCCGAGCAATGGTACAACATAGCTCACACACTTGCTCAAGGAATGGCTCATATCCTCAGCAGTACCTTCACCCAATCTGCAAGCCAGACTTCACCTAGGACTCACACTGCCAATAATTAGGAACTAATGGTTTTACTCTTTCTTTTATTTTAAAATATGGTATCTTTTACATGCCAACCATGAGGATAGATCCTGAAAAAAACCAAAAGATGAGGTTAAGAGTCTTCTCTTAAGGAGGTTACTAGGTAGACAGATTCATGACCATGTTACAATACAGTGTTAGAAGAGACACTCTGGAACTTTGGGGACCCAGAAGGAGGAGCTACTCTAAGTTTATGGCTTCACAAAGAAACTGAGAATCAGGCTGGGTCCTATGAAATAATGGGATATCCTCAGGACAAAAGATGCAAGAAGCACTCCAAGTAGGCAAAAAGTGAATAGACAGATATGGGTGTTCCTACTCTATTTCCAGGAAGATCCTTTCCACTGGGATGACTGATTCCCTTTGCCACTTGGAAGTTGTAATGGCTTGGGGTTGGCAGGCAGGACAAGCAGGCCTGACAACACAGGCACATGGAGTAGTAAAGGTGCTGTGGACACACTTGGCAGGCTTGGCACATTTGTGGGACACTCACACTTGACATGATAGGCTTACCAGGTGTTACACGTATATTTTTGGTTTTGTCCTTCCTTTTCTTTGGCTGTTCCACCACAGGTATGGGTTCTTCACTTGGCAACTTTGTATCTATAATTTCTAGGTTAGCCTCAGGATCATTTGGTGGTTGGCCAATATTTTTACCAAAATCCTGCATCTCAACAACATTATCAGGCAAGTTGTACTGGGAGATAGCAAACTCAACTACCTCTTCTTTATCAAGAGAAATTTGGCCCTGAGCACAGAAATCTTCTTTAGTTAGCTTAGGACCCTTCAATTTGTTGTTGTTGCCGCCATCATCATCATCATCATCATCATCATCATCAATAATAATTATTGGAGGCTCCTGGGTGGTGGGCTGCTCCTCAATGACAGAAAACTTTTCCAGCATCTCATCTGAAATACAAGAAACAAGTATATAAATACACTCCTTCCACCTGTTCCTTGTACATGAAATATTGGCAGATTATTCAGAACAAAATTAAACAAGCTGAGAACCATGAATCACAGTTAACAACTATTAGAGATTGTTCCCCCCACACACCTTTTTTTTTTTTTTTTGGTGCCAGGGATTGAACCCAGAGGCACTTAACCACTAAGCCATATAAGCCATATCCCCAACCCTTTTTTTCTATTTAGAGACAGGCCCTCATTAAGTTGCTTAGGGCCTCGCTAAGTTGCTGAGGTTGGCTTTGAACTTGTAATCCTCCTGCCTCAGCCTCCTGAGCTGCTGGTCCTTTTTTTTTTTTTTTTCAATTTTACTGAGAGCAGCAACAGATAAAATAATAATCAAAGTTCAGTGGTAATTTCCAAACCATAATAGGATAATGTAGTTACTCGATAGTTTCTAGATACATCTGCAGTTGTGTTTTCACTGGTCCACAGTATAAATAAGAAAAATTAGTATATTAGTGGTGTTTCTTTTATTATTTTTATTTAGTTGTCAATGGACCTTTATTTTATTTACTTATATGTGGTGCTGAGACTCAAACCCAGTGCCTCACACACATGCTATAGGCAAGTGCTCTGCCTCTGAGCCACAACCCCAGTCCCTGCCCCTTATTTTTCACTGGAGCACTATAATCATACATAATAGTGGAATTCATTATATCATAGTCAAATATGCCCTTTATTTTGTGATTATGTCCTGGCTAAACTTTTGGTACTCTTCACTTTACATAACTATGAAGATAGTAGATGGTAGCTGGCATTTTTAAACCATCATCCCTACAAGTCTCTATCAAGTTGGAAAAATGGTGGCACCCATGCCTCTTACTCCTTTCTCCTTACTCTTCCTCATTCCTACATGAAGGAGGGAAAGAAGAGTGACCCCTAGAACACTGGAGCCTCAGCTCAGCTCTTGATGTTCTCCCCTCTGTTTCCTTAGTATAGTTCTAGGCAGGTAAGAACTCTACTGAGGGGGAAACCCAAGGTCTAAGGCAGCAGGGCATGTGGGGAGCACAATCATATCCACGTCAAGAATATACACAGAAAGAAATGGTAGCACTTGCTACTGATTCCAAACCAAAAAAGCGTGCTGACTTTGATCCTGAAACTGCTGCATGCAATGAGGCTTCAGAGCTCAGCTACTTCTCTGGGAGTATACTTGCCTTTACTGCTAATTTTGCGTATCTTAGCTTTCTTTTTCTTATTGACATAGTCATCATCAGACTCTGATTCAATCACCATACAGCTGAGTGACAAGACGGGTGGGAGTTGGAGAAAAGAAAAATATGAATACAACATCCTTTTTCATCATGGCATTTTCTATCTTTTCTACAATGACTATGATCCTTGTAAATGTTTGATCTGTTTCCCACAGCAACTCTGTTCCCCTTAGTTGAAACTACCAACCTTTCCATTCATCCTGATTTTCCCTTCCAAAGGAGATATCTGTGAACCAGGCTCTGTCAAAGTGTATGCCTCCAAATTGTTTTAGTACAGGGGAAAGCTGATCAGGGAAATGTCTATTTAATTGTCATTCTTCTCTATCAACTTTGAGATGCACTCATCTGAGAAGAGCATAGAGCCAGAGATGGAGAGAGGCAGCCTTAGAACAGGGAGGTTTCTCCTTAGCACAATTCTGTAGTCTGAAGTCAGCACTCTCTCTTCTATGGACAGATTGCTCTGACAGTAGTTATGCCCGGCAGTGCCCCTGTGCTACACATGGTGAAGATAGTAACTAACTCCTGGGATCCTTGGCTAGCCCTGATATTTTGGGATTAGAGGCTCCAGCAAGCTGAAATTTGCTACCTCTTATATTTTCCAAATAGTTTATGAAAGGTATGATTTACTTTGATGATGAGGAACAAACTTAAAAATACATGTTACAGGATTTGTCTGTACCTGTTACAGAAACGAATGTTAATCTTATTCCACTATGTTCACTAAATTTTTTACGGTGCTAGGGATTGAATTTAGGGGTGCTCTACCACTGAGCTACCTGCTACCCCCTTGTCTTTTTATTTTATTTTGAGACAGGGTCTAAGTTATTCAATCTGCCCTTGAACTTGTGATCCTCCTGCCTCGGCCTCCCAAGTAGCTGGGTTATAGGCATGCACTACCATGCTTGGCTATGTTCACTACTTTTAAGCTGCCAAGTTGATGGGTGTTTGCTATCCTATTAACTATTACTCCAGCCTAAAAATTCCTTCTCTTTGATTTTCTGTGCAGTTACCTTTTGTTTTTGTCCCATCCTTTCCAACCACTACTATTCATCTCTTTTCCCCAACTCACCCCCAGGGTTTATCTACCCTCTCATGCCAATCCAATCAGCAACTAAAACTGGGTTACAAATCCTATTAAATATATGCCAGCCCAACCTATTATTTCCAGCCTAACTTCTCTTCTGAATTCTACCCCTGATTCACTACTTACCTGGAGATCCTGTGGGTAGGGATGACATTTATTCAGGATACACAGGTTTGATGGCATCTGTTCTGACCAGTCAGGCATCCATCCTTACTAATCCCTGCCCATGCTCTCTAGATTATTTAAATGTTTTTAATATCAATCCTGAATATAGGCCCCTGAATTTCAACATGTCCAAAACTAAACTCATCATATTCTTCCCCAGTTTCACTCTTCCTATGATATTCCTTATATTGAAGCCACCTGGGACTGGACCAAGACCTGTGGACACTCCAGGCAGGCCCCTAAAAACCGACTTTCTTTAAATAGTTTTCAATATATACCTGGTAGAGGCTGGAAGAAACTATTTTTTTTCTCTTGAAAAATCAGGGTTTTTTAAATCATCAGATAAAATCTTTATTGCATACAATATTGTACACAGAATACTTCTTAGGAGCCATAATGACCATTTACAATGCAAATAATAGTCATAAAAATATTTTGCATCCTGGTGGTGATGATGGTTATTTAAGATTTACTGCAGGACTTTTTCAATATCCCCTATCATTTGGCCCCTGGGCAACACTCCTTCATCCCTCTCTGGTCAGAACAGAGGCTTGATCAACAGGAACATTAGTAGATCAAGCTGAAAGATAGGTCAGGTATATCCCAGAGGGATTTGAATACTGAGCTAAAGTTTGATTTTTATACGATGAGCTCTTCAAATTGACTAACAATATGATCAAAACAATGCCTCACAAGATTCTTTTGGAAATGGCTTGCACACTGGATCAGAGAAGAGATCAGGATGAGATGACTACTTTTTTGACTAGTTGAGATAGAAAGCTAAATCACAGTTCACTGAGACATTTGGAAAAATAAACTGACCAAATAGATCATGGGCACAGTGGGAGAAGATGGGAGGAGGAATTTTGAACCTGGCGGTGAAGTCAAACAACCATTATGTTCCTGTGAAGGCACCATATTGTGTTTACATAAGAAATGTGATGTTTACTCTTAAATCTTCTTACCCCAGAACATCAGACATTTTTCCTTTGAGAGAGAGAAAAAAAGGTAATCAAGTTTTAACAATTCTCTTCCTTACCTGACCCACTTCTTCTGTGCTTTTGTTTTGACCTTAACTAAATAGAGAAAAGGAGAAGGTATTAGGAAGCATCTGAAGCATGGTAAAATCTGTTTCACATATCTTTAACTCCCTAACATGCAAGTCCACAAATTAGTGCTAGTAAAATCCATGTCTCCATAGGGTAGAACATTTGCCTAACATGCATAAGGCCCCAAATTCAATCCTCAGCACCACATACAAAAAAATTATCTATGAAAGACAGGATACAGGAGACCAAGAAGAAGAAAAAAAGTAAATTGGAAAAGAAGCTCAGAGAACTTCCCCTGCTACTTAGAGGAGGGAAAATAACTTCTCCAACCCAGAGAGCCCTAGAGGAGACAAATCCAGGATCAGCTTATGCCAAACATATCAAATCACATTTTAGTCATCTCTACAAAGACACTTCAACATGAATATCACTGCTTTGAGTGGACTCTACTTACGGGACTCATGTTCTTCACTGCTGCTTGAGTCCAGAGAAAGAGCACAACTGTAAAAATAACAGGATGCCTTTTAAAAGAAGGCCACCAACGTCATAAGCAACCAAATGTCAAAAATCTTGACTGAACAACCAGTTTCTGAAGTGTAAAACATTTTGAAGCCCTTATAAAATTAGGATCACAACAGCAGAGGCAAAAAGAAATTTAAAAAAGGCAACAAGTTTCTTGGTCTTTTCTGCTGAATGAAAGTTAGGGAAGAATGTTAGCCAAGCATCATCAGTAAGCATGGAGAAGGCTGTTTTCTGTCAATGGTTATTTCTAATTAGATATGAAAGTGAATCTGATAGAGATCACAGGGGAAAGGACTAGATGAAGATATTGCAGTGAAAAATCAAAACAGCCAGGTTTAGTGGTGTGTGCTTATAATCCCATTGATTCAGGATACTGAGACAGGAAGATCATCTAGGCAACTCAGCAAGTTCCTTCCTCAAAATAAAAAAAGGGCTGGGGATGTAACTCAGTGGTAAAGTGCTCTTGGATTCAATTCCCAATATCAAAAGTAAAAGGGGGGGGCTGGGGATGTGGCTCAAGTAGTAGTGCGCTGGCCTGGCATGCGTGCGGCCCGGGTTCGATCCTCAGCACCACATACAAAGATGTTGTATCCACCGAAAACCCCCCTCCCTCTCCCTCCCTTTCCCCCCTCTCTCTCTATATTCTCTCTCTCTCTCTCTATATATATATATATATATATACATATATATATATATATATATATATATATATATATATATATAATGTTACAGTCTCTTCGCAACTGAATCTATCAGAAATAAAAAAAAAAAAGGAAAAGGGGCCAGGAAGTCTTCTTTTAGGGTGCTACTACTTGGAGAAGCCCTACTTACTCAATTGCTAGCTAGGTAAATGGATGAGTATTCAAGTCCATTTTGTGGGGAACTGATAAAGTTGGTGGTTATGTTCATTAGTTTTAATATTTCTCCAATGGATCAAAACATCATATTATATACCATAAATATACACAATTATTATCAATTAAAAATAATAAAAACTAAACTTTTA